ATGAACACTCTTGTGTGAGTGCCTTTGTGCGCACATGTGGGAATTTCTTCTGGTGTTTAAGAGCAGGGTTGCATGAGCAAGATAGGCCCAGATTGTTTCCCAAAGTGGTCGTTGCATTTTTTATGCTCCCTCCAGCCTGGTAGAGGGGGTTCCAGTTGTCCTGTGTCTTCGTCAACATTTGACAGATTATTTAATTTTTTGCTAATCTGCTGGGAGTATAATTATATCACATTGTGGTTTGTACAGGCATTTCCAAGATTAATTAGGCTAAACATCTTTGCATATGTTTATTGGACATTTATGTTGCTTGTGAAATATCTGTTCAAGTCTTTTGATCATTTTTCTTTCTGGTGTTTGCTTTTGTGTTGCATTGATCTGTGCTTTTAGATAGCTGGAGACTAGTCCAGTGTGGGCTTGTCTCTCTCCACCCCACTGGCATGCTTTTATATTTTTAAACCTACAGGAAGGTTGCAAGTATAGTATAACAGGTACCTGTGTACCCTTCACCTAAGTTCCACAGCTGTTAGCATTTTGCCACATTTGCAGTACTTCTCTGCCCATGTATTCTTACATGGATAGGTAGAGGTTAAGAGAATTTTTTTCCTAGAAACTTTTGAAAACAGTTCACAGACGTTATGACATTTCACCACTAAATACTTCAGCACATGTCTCCTAGGAATGAGGACAATCTTCTATACTTCTATATAAAATACCATTATCCTTCCCAGGAAAAGCGATAATTTCATGTTATCTGCTGTCCATATTCAGATTAACCCAAATGTCCCCACATGTCCCTTAGAGCAGCCTCTTTTTTGATCCAGGATCTGATCTAAGATCTAGGATCTAAAGCTACAGGTTGCATTTGGTTGTGATACCTCTTTCGTCTCTTTTAACCAGAAGAGTCACCCTGCTTTTTGCTTTTGTTGTTTCTCTTGACATTGGCCTTGTCCAGTGTCCCATAACCTGGATGTGTCTGGCTGTTTCCTCGCGGCTGGATTCGGGCTGAGCGTTGTTGGCACCGATGCACAAGGATGGTACCGTGTCTTCTCGTGGCATCACATCAGGAGACAAGTAATGCCAGTTTGTTACCATTGGCCGTGCCAGCTTCGATCAGTGGTGAAGGCGGTGACAGCCAGATGTCTCCATTGTAGACGTACATTTTCCTGTTGTGATTAGTAAACAGTCTGGAGCGACACCCTGGCGTAATGCAAATCTCCGTTTCCCGACAGCCTTTCACCAGGTTGGATCCTTTCATGAATCTGTGTGGTGATTTTCACGGCCTCTTGCTCTCTCCTCGCAGTTCCTGTTCTCTCTTGTTATTTCTTTAAAACATGAAGCCTGCTTATCTTATGTGCCTGAGCACTTTGCTCTCTGGGTCTGGTTCTGCTTCCTGCTACTTCCGATGGCTCTCACACCTGGTGCCACGTTTCCTTGTTGGTTTTTGTGATTTTTGACTACGAGCCTGAACTTCTTAGAAATTTTTCTGAGAATTCACAGAGGCCTGCGTTGAAGGTGGGTTCCTTTTGAGAACACAGACTAAAGTTAGGGGATCTCCCAAAGTGGTGTGACTTGGGGCTGATCCCCGAGGGCCAGAGTTTTTCTGGCACCGGTGGGTGTGGGTTTAGCTCCAGTTCAGACTAGCACTGAGCATCTAGCCTTGTGGGGCCCCATCCCTACTGGGGTCTCCTGTGAGATCAGCCACCGTGGAGGACCCTAGTCTTTTGTCTTTTGTAGCCTCAGAGGCCATCAGAACCGGAAGTCCAGGTTGCTAGTATGGCCAGTGCCCTCAGGGCAGGCCTTGCCAGGCTGGGCTTGACTTAGTGTTCGACCTCTGATGGTCCCAGACGTCTTTGCCAACTTAATGGTGCATTGAAGATTTGATTTTTTCATTTTTTTTTTTTATTTGTTTAGAGATGGGGTCTGGCTCTGTTCCCCAGGCTGGAGTGTAGTGGGGCAATTATAGCTCACGGCAGCCTCCAACTCCTGGACTCAAAAGATCCTCCTGCCTCAGCCTCCCAAGTAGCTGGAAATACAGGCGTGCACCCCACACCTGGCTTTTTAAATTTACCGACATGTTTAGTTTTTTCAGTGGGGAGGGCCAATTGAGGCATCTGTTGAAAAGTGGTGCTGACTTAGTATGTCAGGTTGTGGGATGGAGGGGCCTCAGGGACCACTGGGGGTGGTTCTGTGTCTTCATCTGACACCTGTGGGGGCTGGGGTCCTGGGGAACTGGGCAGGCAGGGGCAGCGCCTGGCTGACCCTAGGCAGTGGCTCCCCGAACTGGCTCTCTTGCGAGTGCTCTGTGCTGGTTCCCGGGTCCTTCGTGAGCAGTGGTCCTGCGACAGTGACAGGACAGGCTGGGGGGCTGCTCCCGGGGCTGTGCAGCCTGAGGCAGGGTGGGCGCCCAGGCAGACTTGCAGCCCGTTTGTGGGCCAGGTCATGCACTGGGGTGCAACCCCCAAGCCACCTGAGAACATCTTGGGTGGGGCGGTGGTCTTTGGGCACCAGCCACTGCCCTGGCCCTGCCTTGTCTGCCTCGGGTCACGCGGGTCTGTCTGCACGCGGGTCTGTCTGTACCGATGCAGGCCCTGCAGCTGTGGCAGGTCTGTGCTGCTGGGCATTTGCGTGTCCACCCTGCCTCCCTCACTGCCACTGGCCCACACTCTAGGGGTGGGGGCGCTCGGTCCCCACCCCGTGGGGAGAGCCCTGAGGCCCTCGAGCTGCTGCTGCTGTGGCCTGTGACAGGGGGACACTGGCAGGGTCCGTTTGTGCCCAGCCTCTTCGGAAAGGCTGTCACATTGTGTCCGATTGTCTTTCTCTTTATTCTTTTAATAGAATGTGTCTCCCATTGACATCTCAAAGAGCAGCAGACTCTGAAGCTGTTCTCTGTGGATTAAGTTTCCTGTTCCTTTGCCTTGGGGAGGATAAGACCAGGGTAGCAGGGGCAGCGCAGGCAGCTGATAGCGCACACAGCCTTGCGCAATGGCTCGGCCTCCGCTCCCGAGGCCCGGGGCCAGGCAAGATAGGAGAAGGCAAGATCCTCAATTAGATTAATAAAGGATAATTAGATGTCATAAATCAAGCTATCCTAGGATATTGTCATGGGAAAAATATGTAGCTAGAATTAATTAGTTTTCAAATAAAGCGCTTATTTTAATTGCTTGAAATGATGGAGCCGTTAATTGCCGATGCATCATTTTGGCCTGAGCATTTCGGTGGTTGTAACAACGTGACGGGTTTGTTCCCCGCAGTTCTTGGGGAGACAATAGAGGAGAATGTGATTTCATCACCTCAGAATGAGCCTTCTGCTGGCGAGTTTCTGGAAACTCCCGCCAGACCGCAGGCAGGTGGCAAGTGGGGGCCAGGCTTCGGCTGGCACTGCCCGAGGCCACTGTGCTGTCTCTGTGAGTGTGCTTGTGCGTGTGTGCATGTATGTGTGTGCATGAGTGCGTGTGTGTGTGTGTGTGTGTGTGTGTGTGTGTGTGCATGTATGCACATGCAAGTGTATACCTGTGGGTGTGTGTCCTTTGTGTGAGTTTCACACATGTGCGTGTATGTGTGCATGTGTGTGTACACCAGTGCACATCCGATGTGTTCATGCCTGGACTGCACTTGGGAGCTGTGTGGAGGTGGCCTGGAGCGGAAGCGGGAAGGACCCCCATCCTGGCCCCCCTGCCTTCCTGCTGGCTGAGGTGCTTCCCCTGCATTCTTGGGCTCTTCGTGACTGGGGTCCTGCAGCCTCGTGCCCATCGCTCACCGGTCCTCTGACCTGCAGCCACCACACAGCAGGTGGTGGTGTCTGAGGCCTTGTGTCCCTCCACCTCCCCAGGAGGCCGCCCTTGTGTTTAGGAAGGGTCAGTTGGCTATAGGCAAAGGTGAGAGGCTGTTAGGCTGAATCCCCCCTCTACCTCGAAAAAAAGAAAAGAAAAAAATGGGACTTGGCGGTTTATGAAGTGCGCTCTGGGTTCTCCTTATTCTCTTCAGAACCTCTTGAGAGCAGCAGGGCAGAAGGCAGAGTGGCCGCCTGAGGTCTCTTGACAGGAAGGGCGGACCCTCTGCCCTGGAGTCAGATCCCTGACCCCCCAACCCAGTGTGCCTGGCCCAGGCGAGGCCCCAGCTGGCCCCTGCCCTCCCCAGGCCTTCTACAGCCGCGGCCTGCCCTCCACTCCACGGGATCAGAGCCCGCTGGCTTGCGCAGCCCCAGCCGCCTCTGTGGGGCATCGCTTAGGCGTTTTGAACCTCTTGCCCCAGCTGAGCTGCTCCTGCCTCCCCCAGCGAGAGAGAGGAGAGGGCGTGGGGTGGACCCAGGAGGGCAGGGCCGGCGCTTGGTGGTGGAGGGCGTGGTGGAAGGGGTGCCCTGGACAGCTGCCCCCCTTAGATACCCACTTCTCTGCGGGGCCCAGGAGGGGAGACTGGATTGTCAGAGGAGTGGGCGCTCCCAAGCAGACGCTGGAAGGGCCTGTGTGCAGGTGGCCAGAGCAGGCAGGTGCTGGTGTGGCCCTTGGATCTGGGGAGCGGAGGGTGAAGCCAGCAGTGGACAAGATGCCCTGGGGGCCAGTGGGGAGCTGTGCACCGGGCACTGAGGGCCAGAGTGGCCAAGGGAGGGTTGGGCACTGCTGCACCCATCCAGGGACGGCACAGGTTGAGCCCAGGGTGGTGCCCTGGTCAGGTACAGAGGTCAATAGGCAGGATGGGGAGAGTATTGGCATGGGGGTGGGGCAGTGGCAGCACGCCCAGATTCCCAGCAGGAACAGCGGCCAGAAGAGGCCAGCAGTGGGGGAAGGGGCTCTGTGCTCCCAGCAGAGCCCGGCTGCCCTTGCTGGGAATGCTTCCTCCACAACCACAGGGCCATTCAGCAACGTCCGGGGAGCAGGGGTCTTCCCCAGGGGGCGGAAGGCTGGGCATGGAGCAGGGGCAGCGTCTCAGACCCCTCCGTGCCCAAGCTGCCTTCCTGGAGGATGATTGTGGAGGGCCACCGTCACTCATATGTCCTCCCGCAGTCCCCAGGTGACTGTGCCCTGCTCAGCATGGCGGCCCACGTCCCGCCACCACCAGACCCCCAGTTTGTCCTCCGAGGCACCCGGTCGGCAGTGCACGCGCTGCATTTCTGCAGAGGAGCCCAGGCCCAGGGGTGCCAACTTCTCTTCTCAGGGTGAGTAGCTGCTGCCCTGGCTGTGGGTGGCCTGGGGTAAAGTCAGAGGTCATGGGCTAGCAAGGAGCCCGAGTTCCTCTGGGGGTGCTGGCAGTGGGGCATGGGCGCCTGTCACCTGGGCTTGCTGTACTTTCAGAGCCCACTGTATATACCATCCCTCGGGGGAGCAGGGACACAGGCCCTCTCAGTCACAGGGGCTGGAGCAGACAGAACCTCCCAGCATGCGCTCCGGGGTGGCCTCTCCCTCTCAGAGAAGCTCTGCCAGTTTGACCCTCAGGTCCTATTCAGAATGGTCAACTTTTAACAAAAAATGTTACCAGGCGAGATGCCTGCGTGCTCCAGTGTGGCCTCCAGGCCAGTCCCAGAGCGAGCTAGGAACATGCCTGCCACACTCGCCACCTAACACCTCTGCTTGTCTAGAGCAGGTCTCAGGCTGGGCTGGTGCACATCTGGAGCCTGCAGACGCGGAGAGCGGTCGCCGCCTTGGACGGCCATGGGGGCCAGTGTGTGACCTGGCTGCAGACGCTGCCCCAAGGGCACCAGCTCCTCAGGTGAGTCCCCGGGTGTGCCGGAGCCAAGCAGAGAGGCTCTCGTGGCCCCACCCCAGGGGTGAGCCAGGGTGACCAGAAGGGGCCAGCGGGGCCATAGCACATGGAGGTGGGAGGGACAAGGGGCTCTGGCACTCCCATGGTAGAGACCTTGTGAGCTGGGGCCTGTGAGTGTTGAGAGGGCCTGTGGGGCTGAGGGCCGGGTGGCCTGAGGAACCCTGGGGCAGCCAGCAGGAGCAGGCAGGGGCAGCTCTGGGACTGGCCGGGCCATGTCTGGCGCCATTGCTGAGGCCTTTTGGAGGTGTTGGGCCTGGACACCAGGCCAGAGGTGGGCCTGGAAGCAGCAGGAAAGAACAGGTGGGGAGAGACTTCCCTGCTTCCCAGGGCATATAGGATGGGGACAGCCTGTGGGAGGAAGTCCTCGGGGGCTGCCTGGTGCCAGAGTAGGCCACTGTCCTCAGCCAATGACACCTGCCCCTGTGCAGGGGTCACCACCAACAGCCCAGGAGTCCACCAAGTCTGAGTGCCACTTCCTGAGCAGCCTCTGCCCCACACAGGCGTGCTGCTGTCTGCTGGGATCTGTTGTCCTTCATACTCGGGGTACACATGTTCCTCTGCCTTCGCAGCCCAGAACTTCAGGAGGACAGGCCTGTTCTCCTGCTCTGGACTCCATGCCCAGGACACTGGAGCATTGTGGAGTCCAGTACCTGGGGTACGGGCCTGTCTTGGCCCGATCAGTCTGCAGAACATTGGTGGTGGACACAGCCCAACTCCTGCAGTGCCCACCGCCCGGAAAATAGCTGGCTGGTGCCCGGGGCACAGAGCTGGCCCAGAGGGTGGGGGCGCCGGGCTTGTGTGTTTCCAGAGCCTCGTCAGACCTGGCCTACTTCCTGGCCAGGCAGGCCCGGATCCCACCCTTGGTGCAAAGGGACCTCCCTGCGGTTTGAGCTTTCCCTGACTGTCAGAGCAGACACCTTTCCAGAACCCCGCGAGGCCACATGCATCAGGAGCTGCTGTTTGTATGCGTTTCTCCCGAGTTTTCAGCTGAGGTGGAGGCCCTGAGGGGTCCCCTGCTCCTCCAGGGCCCAGGCGTGGGAGGTGTGTTCCAGGGCTGGGGAACGGAGGGACGGGGGGTTGGAGGTCCGCGGGCGCGGGCCGCAGCTGTGGAATGCCCAGGTGCGTTTACGCTGCACTGGAGCCCGTGGCCCTGCGAGGCCTGCGCTCAGCTGTGTTTGGAAGCCAAGTCTCTCCAAGTGGCCCTTGAAGGGGGCGGTTGCTTTCATGTCCGGAGGAGGTAGGCGGACGCCCCCAGCCCTGCCCACACACCAAGGATGCACCTGTGCCCTTGACGCTGCCTCACAGGCTGCCACTTTCACCTTTTTAATCCTGAGACGCGACGTGCTGACAGAAGAGTGGGGACCAGCGCACAGAGCCTCGTGTTCTGGCTGAGTGGGCACCTGAGCAACCAGCGCCCGGCCCCAGGCCTCTGCAACCACTGCTGCACCCTGCCCGGAGGTGGCATCCCCTGCCCCAGCAGGCAGCCCCCACGCCTTGTTCTTGCTTCACTGAACATCTGGATGTGTGTCTGTAAAACGCATGGACTAGTTTTGTCTGTTTTTTCTTAACTTAAAAAGATTGGAGCCGTAAGAAGCAGCTTCCTCTGTGTCTGACTTCTGACTTTATCTCGGTGCGGTCCGCCAAGTTGCCCGTAGCTGCGCCTGGTTGCTGTGCTCCGTGTGGTGTGCCCACACCGCTCACCTATGTGCCCGTCAGTGGAGACCCAGTGCCCACGTGGAGCTGTTACGGTCTCTTGGGGCCCGGGTGCACTGAGCCTGCAGGTTGGAGCCGTGCACCCAGAGCTGGGACGCCTGGGCCACAGCACGAGTGCACTTGGGACGTGTCAGAGGGCGCCAGTCTGCACCCCCGAGGCAGGAGCGCCTCACCACTCCCCTGCTGCTGGGCACAGGCGCTTCTGGGTGTGGCTTAATTTGGGTTTTCTGATCACTCCATGATGGGGCCTCCTGTGTATTTGCTGGCCACTGGGATAAGCCCTCTCTTAAATGCCTCCTAGGGCTCCTGCCCTCTCTCTACTGGACTGCCCGCCTTTTCCTGCGGATGTGTCAGGGTTCTTTCTGTCTTCGATGTATGGCAGATATTTTACGTCATAACTTATTTTTCCCACATGGTGGTTGCATTTTTCACTCTTTCAATGGTATCTTTAATAGACAAAGTTACTCATCTTGATGGAGTCAGGCAAGCCAGGCTCTCCCCTTACCGCGAGCACTTTTGTGTCTTTTGGGGAGTCCCTGCATCACGATGGGCGAGCCTCTCCCTGTCCGGCAGGATCTTCACTGCTGTTCCTTGGAAAGCTGTGTGTGTTCGGAGCCCACTGTGAGTGTTTCCACGCGGGTGCCCGACGGCCTGGCTTCCCTTCCCTCATTCCCCTTGAGTGGGGGCAAGGGCACCCGGCGGCCATAGAAGCAGTGGGGGCACGTGGCAGAGGCGCCAGCAGGGTACATCAGTAAATACCTGGAGGACAGCGGGAGCGAGTTACCAATGGGGATGGCGAGAAAGCACCCAGAGGGGTTGGGCTGCAGCTGGGGGTCTCAGAGGAGCTGGTGGGTCTTGCAGACAAATGCACAAAGATTCGTATAGAGTAGTTCCCTGCATGGGTGGGGGTGGGGTGTATATGTGTGTTGTGTGTATGAACTATATGTAGTGTATGTGTAGGGGGCTTTGCATATATGTGTGATTTATGTGTGTAGCGTGTGTGAACTGTATGTGGTACATGTGGAGGGGGCTTTGCGTGTGCGATGTGTATGTCTGTGTGTTGTGTGTGTGTGAACTGTATGTGGGGGTGTGTGGCGGGTGTGTGTGGGTTTCTTACTCCATCTGCAGAGAAGGCTGGCAGCAGCGGCACCTGTGACCAGATCTTGGTTTCTGGAAATCTCCCTGTGCTGAAAGAACGAGGATTCCTGGAGAGACGGGTCAGAGGTTGTGTGAGGGTTAGGGTAGACTCGTGTCCCCACAACACACCAGACAAGGGGAAGCCGTGGCTTTGCAGGGCACAGAACTGGCGGGCACAGCCTTAACCAGGCACTTGGGGTCGATACCTGCAGGGGTGGGCAGGACACATTGTGCGCCCTCAGGTGCAGTGACTGAGGAGGTGCGGTGTCATCTCCTGGTGTCCCCTCGGGAACATGGGCCTGGGCCTTGGCCTTGGCACCGGGGAGGGAAGGAGAGACAGGGCGTGGGCAGGCGGGGGTGGAGCCTGACGGCCCGTAGCCGGCGTGGTGTCCACGAGGCCCTGGGACGGCTGCAGCGGTGGGCTTGCCTTCGGAGGGTCTGCGAGTGGGAGGTGCGTGTGTGTGTCCCGGGGCTGGGGAGGCCTCCGGTGAAAGAGCAGGCACCAAGGACAGGAGGTTCGGGAACTTTCTCTTGCTCCCACAGCTATCCCGTGAGTTCAAAACTGATTCAAATAAAATGTTCCTCAACAATTGAGTGAGTGAGTGAGTCCTTGGCTCACTGCCGGGCGCATGTCCCCTCCATGTTTGGGGACACCCTCCCACTACCTCTCCCTGGCTGCCCGCTGAGCCTGCTCTAGCAGAGCCTCCTGGAGGCCTCACAATTCTTTGTCCTCCAAATGTCACATTTTGAACATCAGTTTGGCGAGTTCTCCAGAAACCTAGTAGAGATTTGGATTGGGATTGGGTTGCCCAGATCAGCCAGGGGAGAGCGGCGCCTCTGTGGCATGGAGTTCTCTGTGGCATGGCAGAGGGTCACTGCGTTTTTCCACTGCTGTCCTTTTTCTGCTTCAGGATCCACCAGGCTGTCCTGTCTCCTTAGGCCCTGTGGTCTGTGATCATTTCTCTCTCCCTTGTTTTTCGTGACCTTGGCATTCTCGAAGAGTACTGCCCAGGTGTTTTGTAGAACACCTGAGTCTCAGGTAGGGTTGGTGGATGCTTTCTCAGGGTGGGACGGGCGTGATGGGTGTTGGCAGGAAATCCACCGAGGCATGTGCCCTCCTCCCCTGTCGTGCCAGGGTCCGTGATGTCCACGTGGCCCATGCTGGTGAAGTCATCCCTGGTCACTCGGCTGGGGGTGTCTGCAGGGCCCATGCCATGGTGCTGCCTTTTCTTCCTGCTTCCTTAGAAGTGAGTCGTGAGGTCCAGCCCACACTCAAGGGGAGGAGGATTAAGCTCCACTCCTGGGTGGAGGAGGGTCCGAGAAGGTGTGGGCCTGTGTTAAAGCCACCACAGTAATTAATAAATATCTGGGGGGAGAAACTTGGAGGCTACGCAAATATCCTGTTTCTCCTTAAAGTTTCACCTACCGCTGTCAGCGTCCGTCAGTGGTTCTGCCTGCAGCAGCTGTCGCCGAGTATTGTCACCTCCCTCATTCCCCCTCCCTGTGGTAGACTCTGCTTTACCTGGAATTAAGGCCTATAGGGAGTTTGCTCCTTCCCGATTTATTTATGCGCTCACCCATGGGGGTGGGCTCATGGAGATGTACTTCATTCTTTGGGTTAAAATCTATTACTACTGTGACTTTTTTTTTTATCATGCGGATTATTCCAGCTTTGGAGCCTGTGTCTTGACATGCCTGTCCTTTATTTGATTTCTTAAGTATTTGCTTAGTTTCTGGCACTGCACGATGCTTGAAATTCACCCTGTGTTCTTCCTGACCCCAGCCTTGGCATCGGCCACTCCTCAGCACTGACTGTGGGCTCCTGACTGTGGAAAATGGGCGCCAGGTGCGCTCACCACGTCTAGGTGCTGGCAGCGAGGGCGCTGGGAGGCCCGGGGGTGCCGACCCCAGCTCGCACACTGCGCTCACGTCTGCGTCCGTCTGTGCGCAGATCTGACCGCACACACCGTCACGCTGGCTCTGCGGGTCCACATCGCCTCTGTGCTTGTCTGTGATGGCCCTACGGGGGAGGACCCGCCCTGAGAGCCACCCCCAACGTAGTCACCCGTCAGAATTGTGGGCCTGCACCCCTGTGAGAAACAAATTCAGCCACTAGAGCCCCACATCTCTGCAAGATCACTTTTGTCTTCAACTGCACAGCGTCAAGTTGGAGCGCACGCTCCCTCAAGGCACTCCTCTCTGCTCCCGCCCCGTCCTGTCTGTGTCACATCTGCAGTCCTTCCTGTACTCCCAATGTCCTGCTTGTTCGTTGTTTTTGATGTACGTATGGTGAGTTTGCTCTCAGTGGTGTGCAGTTCTGTGGGTTTGGCAGCCGCCACGCCTGGGCCACGCTGGGCAGCCCATTGCCCCATGGAGCCCATGTGGACATCCCCCGGCGTGCCCGTCCCCACGCGCCTGCCTTCTAGAATGGTCACACCGTGGGTACCCTGTCAGATCTAGCTGCTTTCTAGTAGCAGGAGCCCCTCAGAGTCCTCCAGGCTGTTGCATGTGTCCACGGTTGGCCCCTTCCATTGCTGAATGGCGTCCCATGTTGGGCACGCACCAGCCTCCTGTGGAGGGACAGCTGGTGGTTTCTGGTGTGGGCAATTATCGGCAAAGCTGCTGTAAACATTCTGTGCAGATGTTTTTGTGAATCTAGGGTAATACTCATTTGGGAAAGTACCTGCGAGTGGGATTGCTGGGTCCTCAAACTAGATTCACAGAGGGAGCAGGGCATGTGCTTTGGTGGTACGGGTGGCAGCAGAGGGCTGCAGGAGGCGGGACATGGGACACTTGCCACGGAGCGCCCACAGCCACAGTTGGTCGTGTGTCCTGGCATCGGGCACCTTGGATGCCAACTCACATGTAAGCGCCGGAGCAGAGAAGCCCTTCCTTGGCTGAGGCTGTCTACCTGCTGTGAGCCACACTCACCGCAGCCACTCTCTGGAAACGTGGCCTTGCCTGCCTTCAGCCTCGGCACCGGTGTTTGTCCAGGTGGGGTATGTGACAAGCTCACTGGGGGAAGCTCAGGACTGTCTCCTCTTGGTTTGGAAGTCAGGGCCGTGACCTGAAGCTGTGCCTGTGGGATCTGGTGGAGGGCAGGAATGCCGTCGTGGACTCCGTGCACCTGGAGAGCGTGGGCTTCTGCAGGAGCGCCATCCTGGCCAGCGGGCAGCCACGCTGGACGCTTGCCGTGCCGGGGAAGGGCAGCAACGAGGTGAGAACCAGCCTGCCTCAGGCCCCTTGTTCTCTTAAACAGGTGTGCTTATCCCTGCAGCTGGTTAGGAGGTGTCTGTGCCCACCTGCTAGACCCCATGGAGCTGCCCAGGGCAGGTCTGGGGTCTGCCGCCCGACTGCAGCTCCAGCAGCTGGGCCTTGGCCTGGCAACCGGGGGGTGGCCCTGGTGGTGAGCCCACCCCCTGGAGCAGCGTGAGAGTCAAGAAGGGGCCTGGCACCCAGAGCGGCTCTGCCTATGGAGGAGGGGTGGGGGATGACCAGATGTGGAGGCCCGGGGCCAGCAGGAGCAGCTGGGGGCAGGGACCGCTCAGGTCCTGAGGGGCCTTGGACTTGGGTGGGAGGAGGTGGTGGGAAAGTCAAGGCCCTGGGGGCGTTGGGGTGGGGAGGCTGAGCCAGGGCAGCAGGGATGGTAGAGTGTCAGGGCACAGAACTGGGCACCATGGGTAGGGCTGTGATGCGAGCTGGGGGTGGCACAAAGGTGGTGACCACTGGGGACAGGTGACCCAGGCGACAGGTGCACAGGGGATGGGCTCCAGGAGGGGTGACCAGGGAGGCCACCATTGGTATAGGTCAGGCTGGAGTGACCGGAGGTGTTGGTGAGGTGGGGCTGGCCAGGCTGACAGTAGCTTCCATGCCCTGGGGCCAGATGAGTCAGAGCCCACCACAGGATGGGGCCCAGGACGGGGGCGGGGCATCACAGAGGAGGTTGATGTGGCTGAAAGGAAATCAGAGCAGCCGAGAGTGGTGCCTGGACATCCTGGTGAGTGCGGCAGAGTGGCCCGAGGTGGTGTGTGGGAGGACGGGTGTGGAGCGGGGTGCACACACATGGGTGGGTGGGGGCCTCCCGTCCTTGCTCCCGGTCCTCCTTGGCCCACGCCCCGTGAGCCCTCACCGGGCTTGGCCCCCACCCAAGAAGAGTCGTTCTGTCTTCAGGCAGATCCAGTTTATAAATAATGAGACAGCAACAGGAATTTATTTGTTCTTGATTGTGTTTAAATCACCAATTAGGAGCTGCGTACACTTTTCTTGCCAATTTTCCCAACCCTTTTACAAGTTTTACTAGTGTGAGAAAGAGGGGTGTGCTTGGCCCCAAACGGTGGGTGGGCAGGCAGCCAGCTTCTGCCGGCCGCAGACCCAGACCCTTGGGTCTTCCCCAACCTGCGTCCCCTACGGGCCTGCCTCGGCCACCCTCGGGCCCTGGTCAGCCTGCCTGCCCCTCCCCAGCTGCACGTCCCCATGCTGGAGGCTGTTTCGACCTGCCTCCTGGCTCTGCCTGAGGGGCAGCCTCTGTATTTTTCTGGAGCTGCCAGTCTGGGACCTTGCACATCCTGGGAATGGTTGCTTTCCATGTTCCCACCTGGAATCTGCCTGGACGAGGCCTTGGAAAAGCATCGCTGGCCTGCGCCCAGACAGTGCTCGGGGCTCGCTCGGCCGTCTGGGTGGCCACACTTGCCCAAGCCTAACATTTTCCCTTCTGGAAACAAAAGCTGCAATCGAGTGCCAGGTGGGAAGTCATTGGAATCTGCAGGAGGCGCAGGCACAGGCGCGGGCAGGGAGCTCCTCTTCTGACCCGGGAGGCCCCGGCTGGTGGCTTAGCCAGGCAGATGCTGGGCCCAGGCGCCCTGCTCCCTACACACAGGATGTGGCTGGAGGTGCCACCACCCATGTGTTCCCCGCAGTGCCCAGCGTGGGGCCTCTGGCTGCCTGGGCTTTGCCCTCCCCCTCTCCCCACCTTTTGCCCCGTCCACACTGGCCTGCCCGAGTCCCCTGCCCTGAGCCCCCTCACTGACCCCCGGGAGGGTCTCCCAAAAGGAGAAACGCTGTGCTGGAGTCGATGTCCTGCAGAGAGCAGAGAAGGGCTGAGCCTGCCTCTGGCTTCTCTTGGGTTCTCCGTGTTCCTTTGGGGCGGGCCCAGTTGCGACGATTCTTGGTTTCCCGATGTTCTTGTTCCTGTGTTTCTTTCTGTTTTGCTAGAGCTCGCCCTGGAGCAGTTTTTCATAAGGAATCCTTGGTGTCCAAAAAGACCTCTGTTTTGCCCTCATATTTGCCATCTTGGCTGCCTTTAATTCTGGCTTGACCAGCCTCTCCAGAGCTTGCAGGTCTGTCTCACACCACGAGCAGCTGGGTCTGAGCATCTGTGGGGTCCCAGCAGCTCCTCTTCCTGAAGCCTCATCTCCCACAACTGCAGTAGCCTGTCTTGGTCCTCGAGCTGTCTCTGTTCCCTTCGTTGTGTCGCTGTTTGTCCCCCAGAGCGCCTTCCTTCAGGCAGTCGGCTAACCCCCAGGCCCCTGGTTTCTGGGCTTGGGTGTGAGCCTCTGTACGTGTGCAGGTGTGTGCGGTGCACGTGTGTGCATGTGTGTGCGGGTGGGCACTGGCGCAGCGGCTCCAGACTCACCTTCTGCAGTGGGTGGGATGCGGAGCTGTATGCCGTCCCTGTGCTGAGCAGGGGTGGAAACCCCACTGTCGGGCTGAGCTGCTGTGCCGGCCTCTGCTGAGAGCACTGTGGCCCCAGCCCACCTGTCACCGTGGGCACATCAGCAGGACTCTGCGGCTGGGAGGACCCAGCTGTGTGCCCGGCTCTCTGCCCTGCCTGGAGGCTGCCCTCAGCACAGCCCCAGCATGCAGGTGGCAGACCTAGAATTCAGACTTGGGGCCCTGGGCCCATTCTGTGTGGGTTACTGAAGGCAGCCAGTTTCTCCCCGATGGGGCCTCCTTAGACACTGTCCCGCAGCCTGGCCCCAGAGAACAGGGTGGGACTCGAGCAGCTAGAGTAGCTGGTGTGAGTTCTGGCCACTCGACGCCCCAAGCCCTTGGACCTCAGACTCCTCCTGTGCAAACCAGGGGATGCCATGTGGCCTCCTCCTGTCCAAGGTGGCTGCATATCAATGTTATTGCCACATTATGATAGAGAGTTGCTCTCACTGGTACCCAGGGAAGCTCAGAGCCGGCCGAGCCTCCCAGCTTGCAGAACAAGGGCGGAGGGCACACAGGACCCGGTTGCAGCAGGTCCGCTGGGCGGCACAAACAAGACAGGGAGCATCCTGCCAGCCCTGTGCTGCAGCACATCATGTAGGAGCTCCACAGGAGGGGTGTCCTGTCCCCACCAGGTGGATGAGGGAGCCTAGGTGCTTAGGTACAAGGGACAGCCAGGGCCCGATTCTGGGCTGTGGCACTTTGATGCCCGAGTCTGCTCCTCACAGCCTTGGCCATCCCTGGGGCCAGTGCTGGGCAGAGCCTGCTGTCAGCACGTGGGCCGCGAGGCACGGCCCCCAGCCTAGGACACGAGGGCCCTGGCTGTGTCCAGGTGACATGGATCGCAGCCTCTGCACACGGGTGCAGGTGCGGGGCTGAGAAAGCCCCAGTGGACGCATGTCACATCCATTTTTCAAGTGGGTGGAGGGTGCCCAGGTGTGCCTGTGGGAGTCTCTGTACCATGAATACACCTGAGATCATTCACAGTGTCTGGGTGTCAGACCCACATCAGGCAAGAGGAGCAAGGAGAGAGGATCGGCTGAGCAGTCGGGGGCGAGAGAGCCGGGCCTCCTGCTCAGCCCAGACGGGGAAGCAGGAGAGGCCCAGGCGGCTGTGGGCGGTGACGTGCTGTCACCTGGGAACACTGGAAGCGTCTTGTAAGGGCCTGGCAGCCCCCGGCCCACAAGCAGCCTAATGGGGAACCTCGGCTCCCAGGTCCTCACGGGCGGGGAGCAGACAGAAACTCGCGGCAGCCTGGCTAATAACCTTAAAAGTCTCTTGTTTGCATAGCACAGGCTCGACTTGGCGTCGGCCCAAATCAACTTGTTTTCTTACTGTCAGGTTCAGATCCTGGAGATGCCGTCCAGGACGCCAGTGTGCACCCTGAAGCCGGAGGCGGGCGCCAAGCCAGGCATGCTCATGTGCCTGCGGCTGTGGCAGGTAAGGCCCAATGTGTGCCAGCCACGCCCACCAGCCACGCCCACGGGCCACGCCTGCCGGCCTGAGTCATGTCCCGTTCGGATCTGATTTATTGCCACGCCAGTCGGGCAACACCCCCGTGGGGACATGTGCAGCCGCCTCCTGCAGCTCAGTGTCCCTGCTGGCTCTCTGCCTCCCGCTGCTGCCGCTGTGAGGGGCCCTGGCATCGCCCCAGGCGCCAGCAGCGGGTACACACCCTTCAGGGGCCCCGCAGGCTCGCCCTCCTGCCGGTGGCGGTGAGGAGGGGACGGTGGGGTCGGCAGCGCAGCTCGCCCCACGAGGGCTGCGTGCCCTTCTGCCCAGCGCTGCAGCCCGTTGGCGCTGCCGAGGCGGGCGGGACGTGCTGACTAACCGCGGCAGCCTGCTCGGCCCTTCCTTGCTTGGGATTGATTTTCGTTACTTCTTTGCCTCTTAGAGGCAGGAGTGGGCTTAACACAGTGCCAGTGCCTCTCCCCGTGGCTACACTCAGAATTTCTGAGCCATAGCCATTTACTTCTTTCTCGACTGTTCTTTCTGGTTGGAGGGGTCGGGAGGCATCTCCTGGGGCTGCAGTAGAAGCCCGAGACATGCTGGGGGCTGCAGGCATGGGAGGAATCCTCCTGGGCCCACCACATCCACCGGCGACCCCAGCCCTCCTCAAGACACGGCTTCCCCCAGTCAGCACCGTCTCGGTGCACTCGCCCCCTCCCTGGGCCGCAGAGCGAACGGCCTGGTGTGTCACTCGCGAGGAGTCGCCAGCAGCCTCAGCCGCGCCGTCACTGCTGCAGGAGCCGTGGCGGGCAAGGCGCGGGGCAGGGCCTGCTCTGGAGCACTTGGCCATCCTGGCATGTTCCTGTCCCTTCGCTGGCCCTGATGAGGAGGAAGTGGTGCCTGCCTCATGCCTCACTGCCTCTTTGAACTCTTCGCAAGAGCCAGACCAGATGGGCCTGTGCGGTTTGGAGGTGTCTGGGTACCCTTGCAAGACCCACTGGGATGGGCACCCCCAGAGACCCTGCCCCAGGCATTTTTGTCTCTTCACGTGGCCAGGAAGATCACCACTCTTTCCTGCTGTCAGGTTCCCTGCAGTTTCTTGACTGAGGACGTTGGAATTTGGGGTCTCTCGTAGGCGGATGCCGTGGGGTTGCTTCTGCAGCTGCACAGCCTCTGAGAGGGACGCCCACGGTGGGTGGCAACACTTCCAAGAGACTTAGCTGAAATGGCAGCGTTCTTGGCACCAGCAGGCTTGGGCCTCGGGGACATAGTGGAGCCTGGAACACTGGCCTCCATGTGTCCAGACCAGGCTCCTCTGAGAGCTCGACAGGCACTCGGCTGGGAGGACAGACACCCCCAGGCCGCAGCATCACAGGAGGTGGCCGAGGGCCCCCTGTCATGGGGCGGGGTAGCCAAAGCTGCACCTGCTCCAGTTGGCTCCTGGGAAACGTGAGTCGTTGCGCAATCATGTAGAATTCCAGCAGGAAAATGTGCAGAACGGGGTGTACCGACCTGTTAAGGTAATTGATATCGCTGACAGAGGACAAACCACGTTTGTGTTGGTGACAGACTCGGCGCGGTGTCCCACTAAGGAAAGTCCGAGTCAACCTGAAATGCTCCTTTCTCTTCCCCAGCCGACGGTCCAGGTCGTAACTTACTAATCTGAGTGTGGCAAAGTGGACCGACTAGGTTTTTTTTTAAACACTCAAGTAGGTTCTTTTTTTTTTTTTGAGACAGTCTCACTCTGTTGCCCCGGCTAGAGTGAGTGCCGTGGTGTCAGCCTAGCTCACAGCAACCTCAAACTCCTGGGCTCAAGCGATCCTCCTGCCTCAGCCTCCCGAGTAGCTGGGACTACAGGCATGCGCCACCATGTCCGGCTAATTTTTTCTATATATATTTTTAGTCGTCTGGCTAATTTCTTTCTATTTTTTTTTTTAGTAGAGACGGGGGTCTCACTCTTGCTCAGGCTGGTCTGGAACTCCTGAGCTCAAACAATCCACCCGCCTCTGCCTCCCAGAGTGCTAGGATTACAGGCGTGAGCCACCGCGCCCGGCTCAAGTATGCTCTTATTTTGCTCCTCAAAGTGGCGACCTGTGCCGCAAGAGCAATGGTATAAGGTCAGGAGCTACGGCAGGCCTGAGGCACAGTCTTTGGCTCAGGGCCCCTCCAGCCGGCCCCACCGAGTCGGGGGCTCCCCACAGTCCCTGCTGTGTCCTCTGGGGCTGCTTGCTGAGGGACAAGAGGGGACGCGAGCGAGGCCTGGCCTCCAAGTGTCAGCTGGGTGCGAGGGCAGAGGAGAGAAGAGAGATCAGGGTGGCGTCAGATCCACTGAGGAGGCCGGGCAGCACCAATGGTGTGGGCACCAAAGGCCAGGCCCGAACACTGTCCGCCCACAGCGTCTGTCACTGGGAGGCGCAGGAACCCAGAGCACAGCAGAGAGTGAGGTGGCTGCAGGGCCAGCAACCATGGGGTGAGCCCCTCCAGGCCGGGCCGGCCCTGCTCCAGCCACCCCATGGCAAAAATCACAGGTGGTTGTTAGCCGTGGCGCCCAGAACTCCGGGGCTGTGGGCTTCATGCTGACGTCAGTCTAGAGAGACTGGTCAGAGCCGGCCCCGGAGCTGTTTCAGCTCAGGAGCCAGGAGGAATGTGCCCCAGGGAGAGGGGACAGGGCAGGCTTGGCCAGAGGTGGTGGAGACTGGGGACAGGTTCCGCCATAGAGCACTGCCTGAGGGGGGCGCAGCCACCTGGCCCCAGGCGAGTTCTTGCAAGTCCGACTCAGGGGTGGGTCCAGCAGCTGGCCACACCGCTCTGGTGGCAGCGCTGGTGTGCATTCCTGGATGGGGTTCAGCGTGTTCTGGGCTGCTCTTGCTCGGCCCTGATCGTGCCCTGGGTCCAGACACACTGCTCTGGGGTGGCATGGCTGCCTGCGAGGAGCTCCGGGCAGGGATGTGGCACTTCTTAGAGTTCCCCGCGTCCATGTCTCAGGGAGAGTGGTGTACGTTTTTGCACGCGTCATGTCAAAGCAGGTGGCCTGACAAGTGTCAGCGTGGGGCTCTCCCTGTGATGACACCACAGGAGAGCGCAGCGATGCAGCCAGCAGATTGCAGGGAGGAGGCGGGCCGCACGCCGGGCACTACACATTCGGGGACCTGGGGCAGCCCTGCCTCTGGGGACAGCGTAGGCTCCGCCACAGGACAACACGTGAGACAAGGGGCCCAGGAGACGCAGGGCCCCCGTCCCGGAGCCACTCTTCTGTGTTGTTTGTGTGAACTCCTACTGTGGTCAGAGCACGATGGTTTGACAAGCCATTTACACCAGGGAGGACATGTGCCTCTGGGCCAGCCTGGCTCTGTGGGTTCACGTGCCCGTGTGCAGGCCTTGGCGACTGTGTCCTGCCTGTCCCTGCCCTGGCCAGCCCTTTTGGACCAGGGTGGCCTGCCTCAGGCTCCGGGCCTGGCTTCCCAGTTCCCATCACCAACCTGCTGACACACAGGGTGCCCCAGCCCTTGGGCTGCTTGGGGACATGGTGTCTGCTTGTTGGGCACCCACCCTGGTGCCCCCGGCCAGCCCTCATCTCCTGGCTTAGCCTCACAAGGTTTCTCTTGGGCTGCCACTCTCGGAGCCTGGCAGCTGCATCCCCAGGGTGACACAGAATCCTGCAGTGCTCTCCTTCTGCAGTCACTGCAGACCTTAACAAACGAGGCATCTGCCAAGGGCTTGCAGCCCTCTGACCTGCACCCTCATTCATCACAATAGCCTGGGCCGTGAGCTCAGGCGCAGGCAGCTCACACCAGCCTTTCGTGAGGGCAGGGGGCGGGGGCGGCGCTTCTGTAGCCATGTTGACAAGGCACAGAAAGTTCATCTTTCATTGAGATGGAGCTCACGGTTTCTCCTGGCTGGTGGCTCCAGACAGGTGACCAGCCCCAGCCAAGGGTGGCCATGCATCTCAGGCCAAGGAAAGGGGGCAGGAGAATGGGTCCCTGAGCACAAGAGAGGTGGCAAGGTCTTGGCTACACCTGTGGGCAGGACCCAGTGCGGGCACATGCCGGGTCTTGGGGCTGGTAGGCAGTATCTCCGTGGGGGCTGCTCCGGGGCTCTGTGCCCTCCAACCCCATGTTCCTCAGAGTGTCCCAGCAGGGGCTGTGTGGGAGGGGCTGGGTGCAGGGCCCCTGGGTGGTCATGGCCACCTGGAGGATTCGGCCCCTAGCCCCGCAGGAGGGACAGCCGTCTTGAGAGCCCCTTCCCCCCAAAACTGACCGGAATCTGAGCCCTTCTGGGAGCTGACTGCTCTGCCGTCCCTGCAGGCCAACTCCGGACCCCGCCCACTCCTCCTGGCCGGCTACGAGGATGGATCAGTAGTCCTGTGGGACATTTCGGAGCGGAAGATGTGCAGCCGCGTCGCCTGCCACGAGGAGCCCGTCATGGGCCTTGACTTCGACCCCCAGAAGGCCCGGGGCGTCTCGGGCTCCGCGGGGAAGGCGCTGGCTGTCTGGAGCCTGGACGGGCGGCAGGCCCTGCAGGTCAGTGTGCCGGGCCCCGGGCCTCATTTATCCTGCTCTGCACTAACAGTCTGATAGGCTGGAACAATATTTAGGCATGAAGGAGGAGTTGTTGCAGATCCCAGGCTAATCAATCACTCGGAGGCGGTGCGGGCAGCGTGTCCTGCGGCACAGGAAGAAGGGGGCGTGGGCGTCGGCGCCGTTCACATGGTTTGGGTTTCTCCCAGGCCTCGGGTTAGCAGCCGTCACGTCTTGTCCATCCAGAGAAAGGCACGTAGAGTCTAGGAGTGCTCAAGCCCTTTTGTGAAAATTCAGAGGAATTTGGTCAGTAAGGAACTGATTAATCAAAGAAAAAAAAAAAAGCCCAGTGCGGAAAACTCCTCGGAGCTCCAGCCCCCATGGTGGTCTGCGAGCTGGCCTGGGGGGGTTTTGCTCCTGGGCAGCATGAAAGCCCTCAGGCAGCGCGAGGCCTCAGGCCCAAGGCGGAGTGATGCCTCGTGGCCTCTGCCGGCATCTTGAGAGGCACCTAGTGTCCAGGGCCAGGCCTGTGGCTCCCTGTGCTCAGCTGCAGGACAGCAGGGTTGGGGCCGATGGGGGGTCGGGGAGCCATCTCTGATGCAGCCGTGGGGGGCTGCAGGCCACAGGGGAGGAGGCGCTGGGTGTGTCCTGGGTGTACACTGGCTCCAGGGGTGGGCAAGGGACCCCCATTCGCAGAAGCCTAGGAAGACAGTGAGTGGGACTGTGCACACAGGTCTCGTGGGGTGGGGCTGTGTGGCAGCTGCGTGCCACTCGGGGTGGCCACAGAAGCAGCAGCAGGCCCAGCTCCTGGATTCGCAGGGCTCAGCCCTGGGGCACCACGGATGAGGCTGTCCCTTGGGGGCTATGAGGTCCAGGCTCCCCCCACTCGACAGGAGGCCAAAGGGAAGGCATCACTTGGACCCCCCAGATGGGGACAGGGCTCCCCTTCAGCCCATCAAGTGGACACTGCCAGGGTCCCCAAGTCATGCGGTGGGGCGAGGGAGGGATGGTCCCCAGTGCCTGTGGGCTCACCAAGCCTGTGCCAGGCGCGGCAGACTTGCAGTCATTGGGGGTGGTCCCACAGAAGCCCTGCTGTGAGGGGCGGAGCTTCGCATCCCTCCAGCAGGAGGAAGGGTCTCTGAAGTCTCAGAATAGGGGACCTGGCTGTGGGTGGGGTGCGAGTTGTAAGGATGATGGTCATTTTGAGAAACTTGGGCTGAGCCGCTCTGGGTGCTGGGTCTTCATGTCCTGAACTGCTGTCCCAGTCAGGGCTGATCCCCCAGGGGGGTGGGGGAGTCTGCCTCACACCCCCTCTTTCCCACTGCCAAGCCTGGTGGGGACGCCACAGTGCTGTCCCCTGGGGGTCCAGTGCCATCCTGCTGTGGTGTGGCCTTCACCAGCCTGACTTTGCAGAGGGCTGAAGACCCTTCCCCGAGAGCCCCCACCCCACTGCACACCCAGGACCTCAGGAAGGAGCCCCCTGCCATCCTGGCCCAGGCCTGCCTGGCCCCTCCCGGCGTGTTTGGGAAACAGCTGCTGGAACTTAAGCTGTAATTTATGGGCGTGTTCGCCAGCGATGACCTTACTGTACTGACAAATTTAAAAGTTAAAGCAGAGCGGCCCAGGAACGTGGCATAGAGTGGCAAGCATGAGAGTGGGCGCCGGGCAGGCCTCTGCCCACAGTGCACATCAAGGAGGGAGAGCGCCAGCTGTGCGTGCCGGGAGAATCCTGGGAGGGGTGTAGGCCGGCCCTCCACGCTCTGCCCAACATCACACCCATCGTCAGCTCGGAGGCCCCGGAGAGTTCAGGTTCTGAGCCCCACGCCAAGGGGGAGTGCCAGGGCACTTAGCCGAAGCCAGCTGTCTGAGGGCGCCCTTGCCGCCCGGGAGCAGGTGAGGCGGCCTCGCCCAGCCCCAGCACTGTAGCGTCTCACCTGAGAGCCACGTGGGCGCAGATGTGCCTCCCTCATGTCCTCCTGCCGCAGCCTCTAATGAGCCCAAATCAATCTCTCCCAGGCGGGCGCTGGGAGCAGAGTCGCGGATGGTTCCCGCAGCAGAGCGTGGGTAATCGGAACCAGATGGTGGCCGCGCTGCGCCGCACATTCCTGACACCTGAGGTCATGCGCTGGGAGAGCCACTGGTGGCCAGAGATCCTGCCCAGAAGGTCCCGGTCCAGGCTGGGGCTTGGCCAGGGGTTGCAGCGGTGACGAGGGAGCAGCCCTCGTCAGGACACTGCCCAGGGGCACTTGGGGTCACATGGTGATACTGGAGCCACTCTGCCTTACTGAGGTGGCTTTCCCAAGAGCCATCTCGGCTCAGGCCGGGCTGTCGTCAGATACAGGTGGTGCACAGGCCCGCTCCTTCCCTCCCACACTTGGGCAGGGCCCACAAGCCTTGAAACAGGGCTGATTTACAGCCGGCAGTATTTTTAGGCCTTTAAGTAATAATGGGGCTCCCCCACCCCAGGCAGCCTGGCCTGGGGAGCGGACCAACCCAGCTCTCCTGTGCCGCGCCCAGTGGGGCGTCCCCAACTGGGCTCCCATCTGCACAGCAGCAGGGCCAGCGCTCCTGAAGCTATAGTGGGAGGAAACAGGCTGTGCAGGGCTGTGGGCACAGTCCCACCTGCCACCACACCAGGAACACAGCAGCCCGGGGCCAGGACAGGTCCTCCTCTTCCTCCAGAGCTTGGGCCCAGACAGGCCCTGGTCTTCCTCCAGGAGGTCCCCACCGGGCTTCCCCCTGTGCCCTCTCTTCCCAGAGGGAACCTGGTCCTTGTGTCGGGTGTCTCTCCCTTAGTGCCGTCATCTGTTCCCAAGAACAGCCAAGGTGGGTGTGGGGTCGCTCCTGTCCCCTCGGGCGCTGGCCGCCCAGCACAGCCAAGCCACTGGGCAGGAGCCGGGCATCTCAGCCTTGCAGGCGAAGGTACTGGCGTGCGGGGTGTTCTGCCTGTGCCTTCCTTCTGCCTGTGGCGACACAGGTCGGGGCCGCTACAGAAACTCTCCCGCTCACCTGGGGCTCTAGCCGTTTGGCAGCAGGGTCAGAGCAGCTCTTTCCTCCGGGGAGGCGGCTGTCTGCACATGCCTGTGAGGAGGGGATGCAAAGCAGCGGCCCTGCGGTGGGACGAGTGCTCCAGTGAGGCCCACTGCTCTGGCCCCAGGGTCCCCTCTCTGCCACTGACTCGGGGCAAAGGTCACAGGAGAGATACGGGTAAGGACGATGGCAATGGTGTCCAGTCACCTCCTTTCCACTCCCAGCTGCCAGCCCCTCCTGAGCCACAGTGTCCTGGCCCTGCAAGTGGGGGAGGGGCCGCTGGGTCTGCAGGCGGCGCACCACAACACGCACCTACACGTGCACCCCGGCATCCACCCCATGCCCCTGCCCAGTGCATGCTGGTCTTGGTGGCCACTCGGCTAGGCTGAGGGGAGCTGAGGGGTGGGGTTGGGCAGGGTGGAGGGGATGCTGGGCGCTGCGCACACTGAGGACCTGCCTGGGCTCTTGGTCACAAGAGTTGACAGCTCGTATTCAGCTGCTCCTGTGTTCACCGGCAGGAAGCATGTGGAGACCCCCAGAGCTGGGGTCTGCCAGGTGAGAGCAGTGGAAGGCGGGCAGAGCATCTGTGACACACAGACGTCACTGGTCGCAGAGGGCAGTAGGAGAGGGAGACGGCGTGGGAGGCGGTCAGGGCTGGTGGGCTGCAGGCGCTGGCGGCTCCGTGAACTGGTGAGCTGGGGAGGCCCCTGGAAGAGCAGGAGGTCGGGCCTGCAGAGGGCTTGGCCAGGAGGGCGGGCTGGGTGTTGAGCGGGACAGGGTGGCTGGCAGGATGTGCTGACCTCGCAGGTCACCAGGAGCCCAGAGCGGCCTGGTGGGGCGATGGCTGCAGGTGGTCTGGTGGATTCTCCTGTCAGGGGAGGTTCCTGCCGCCTTCTGGGGAAGGAATCTGGGTCGTGGTCTGCGCTGGGCTTCCCCAGGCGCTTTCACTGCATCTCTCAGACTCACGTGGCTTTTCTTCTCGAATCTGTTACTTTAGGGAATTGCATTATTGGAATTTTTTTTAACATTAAAGCAACCAAACCGTCCTAAAATAGCCTGCCACATAATGTGTCCTCTGCATGCCCTGCTGGGCTCCGTCAGATTATTCAGGGCCATCGGCCGTCCTGTACCCGCGCTCCTGCCGTCTGACGGGGCACATGTCCCCAACTCCCCCATCAGCGGTGTGGGTGGGGCCTGTACCACTGTGGGGCAGGAATTTCTTCTGTGGGGAAGGTTCAGTTTTCTTTGTGGACAAATTTCCTGATTTGGAGGGAAGTTGCATTTTTACAGGAATTTGTCTATAGGCATAAAAATCTTTAAGGTATTTTCCCATGACCCTGTTCTTACTTTTGTTCTAGCTGTTCGTGGTGACTGTTTCGTTTCTGCTGTGTTTGTAGCACTGTCCCTGTCTGTTCATCAGTCTCATCTTTGATGATCCTTGGAAATCTTTGTTTTCGTTTCATTGTTTCTGTTCTTACCGTGGGCCTGCACGCTCTGGGTTCGCTGTGTTGCTCTGACCTGAGTCGAAGGCACAGCCCACCAGCTTTCAGCTTTCCTTTGCCTGCCCAGCATGGGAGCCTGAGTGTGTCCACGGGTGACCCTCCGGCCAGGCCCCTGGTGCCAGAGGTCATCGTCTTCGTGACCCCTCACTTCTAGTCGAACCCCGTCTTCATCTGTTCTCTGGCGCTGAGCTGATGAGAGTATTCTTATGGTTCCAAACATTTGACTTTTCTGCCTGAGTTCTTTTTTAGTTTTCACTTTCTAACTTAATTACATGTGGTCTGAGAACAAGGTCTGAATGATATCAGTTCTTTGAAATGCAGGGGCCCGTCTGGGTTCCAGCAGTGCTGCACATGTGCCTGAGAAGGCAGGGCCGCTCCTCGCAGACGCACCGCTGCACACGTGAGCACGGAGCTGCGTGTTGGCCAGCTGTGCCGGGGACAGGGTTCCTGGAGGGTGCAGGGAGGATGTCG